TGGAATAGTATACTTCACAATACCCAGTGATCGAAAAGACTGTTGGGCCTTGATTGCACACCCAGCACAAGGCCATGGAGTTCTGTTGATGCTGGAGCCATGTTGGATCCCAGGTAATGAATTAGTGGATGCTGATTCAAAGGCTGCTGTATTTAGTGCATTCTGTAGTACATCTCTGCCTCAGTAATCTTTTGGGGCACATTCCTTGGTAGTAGATTTTATTTTGGTTATTTACCTGGAAGATTAGTAACCCAGGATAACCCATGAAAGTCAAAGTATGTACTGGGATATATTTCGTCTAGGATCCTTTGGTCCTTTTATCAAGATGTGAACCACATAGTCAGGCCAAAGGCAAGATGGCAAACTGTTGAGGATAATACTTGAAGTGAAAGCTGTCCCTATACTGACCACCCTTCACTTCTTTACCTAGAATGAATCTCATGGTAATGCATAGTGCATTACCATGAGATTGCACACACACACACACTGGTGGTGACCTGTGTGAAAAAGTATTTACGTATGTGCAGTTATAATAGCAAAGCAGTGTAACTCCTTCCTTAATGTTATTTGAACAGTTTCCTCTGGAATGATACGCACAGGAAGTCACCTAGGTACCTATTGTATTGTGGCGTGAAAAGAGGCATTAGTTGTAAGGAGACCATGCACCTTCATCTGGTCCTGGATACAAGACTGTTGCTGACAGTAATGCAAAGAAGACAGTAGTGCAGAGCAAGTATTTACTTTGGCAACGTTTCACTTCATGTTGAACTTTATCAGGCAAACTTTGTCATCATGTTTCTTTCCTTCACCTCTAGTTTTGCTCATGTGCATTCTCTTGTGTTTGCGGGGGTCGAGTGTTTTGGCCCTGCTTTTTAGCTTCAGAATTGATGGGCATTTACTGGCTCCTGGTCCCTATCTTACCTACGCTTGGTACTGTATGGTGTTTTCACCCACCACCTCCTCATCCAACTCTTTCCACTTGGTACACCCTAAGACAGAAAAAGTATTTCCTAACACCCTTCAAACTCTTGTACATTCCTAGCTTCCACCTAAGGAATCTCTCCTGTCTATGTATTTACGTGTGGTATTGGAGGTCGATTCTTAGCTCGTGTGTGTGTGTGTGTGTGTGTGTGTGTGTGTGTGTGTGTGTGTGTGTGTGTGTGTGTGTGTGTGTGTGTGTGTGTGTGTGTGTGTGTGTGTTTGCTGTGTGTGTGTGTGTGTGTGTTTGCGTGTGTGTGCGCGTGCGCGCGTGTGGGAGGATTTTGCAGTTTTCAGTCACTAACTGTTAATTTATGTATTTGTTAGCTGAAGAAGCCATGTTGCATGTTTTGCCTGTGTGCGTGCGTGCGTGCGTGCGTTTTCACACGCATGTAATCTGTAGTTGACATGAGCCCTGCGTTTGTGTGCTCTCGTTAGCGTTGCACACGATTTGCAGAATCCCCACACAAATCCATGGCAGTCATGTTATTGAATTGTATAGCAAAGTAGTTGTAGCAAGTCATGTAGAGGTGCAGGAGAGTGTTAGTTGCTTCAAGGCTGAATGACACATCTGGTATGAGCTGGATTCCCGCACCATTGTCACGCAAAGACTCGGGCTACCTTGGACTGGTTCTCTCCTATTCTATAATGATCTGTTTTGTAGCATGTACATGCAAGTTTTGATATTAATCCAATATTCTTCTAGCTTCTAGGCTGGTTATCACTTTCGCCTCTTGTTGCCTTGATGCTAGTGATGAGCTCCTGATCCTAGGAAATAGAGGTACCTTCCCCTTCCTGGAAATCATCCCGATTATCTCTCAGTTTGTACGAGTCATAATCTTATTAAGCTCCCTTTCCAAGGAAGTGAAGGGCTCTTGATTCAAGGAATTGTTACTACCACCTTTTTCTTTGAATTAAATATGATAACCTCCCATTGCACAGGCGCTATATGTATATATAGTTTTAAGAGTTTATCTTAGATTACGTAAGATTGGTTATCAGACAGGACAAGTGTTCTTGACGCGGGTCTTTAGTCATATGATGACCCGCCACTGGAGCTTTGGGTCAGCAGATGACCGCTGACTTACCCGTTCACCCCTTTAAAAATATTTTTATGGTTATGATTTAAAGGTTTAGTGTTTTTACGTTATCTTCTGAGTGCATTTTGGCTTGGATGAATTCATCCTTGAGGGAAAACAAGAGTTAATGTGACTTTGTTTCATAATAAGATAACAAGTTGGATCCAAATAGCATACCGCTCACCGATAAAAAAAAAAAGACATGTTGCAAAACAAGATTTTACTGGGACAATGCTTCATCCTGTGTAGAACTCTATCAAGTCTTAACCTGATAAAACCGAACATAGAGTGAAACTTGTTCCCAGTAAAACATTGCTCTGCACCATGATTCTTCTTTACCAAAAAACAAAAGAGCATGGGCTAACGTGAAAGTAAGTCATCTACCTCTTGACGTCATGACTTGGGTTTAACCACTGGACTTCTGACGACTTTGTTTCCACATCCTACTGGTCATTTTGTGTCTGCGTGCATGCTTCCTGTCCCGTCCCGTCCCGTCCGTCCGTCCGTCCGCATCCATCCCATCCCATCCCATCCATCCATCCATCCATCCATCCATCCACCATCCATCCATCCATCCATCCATCCATCCATCCCATCCCATCCATCCCATCCTCCCATCCACCCATTCATCCCCTTCATCCCATCGATCCATCCATCCCATCGATCCATCCATCCCCTCGATCCATCCATCCCATCGATCCATCCATCCCATCGATCCATCCATCCCATCCCACCCCATCCCACTCCACCCACCCCACCCCACCCCACCCCATCCCACCCCATCCTACCCCATCCCACCCCATCCCACCCCATCCCACCCCATCCCACCCCATCCCATCCATCCATCCATCCATCCATCATGTGGAAAATTGCATTTATCAGAATGTAACTAATTATGTACATAACAGTAAATGATAACAAAGATAATTATTATTTATCATTGTTACATAGACAAGTAGGAATTTGGGACACCTAGGTCGCAAAAAATGTCCCCCTTCGATACCTACCACTGTCATAACCACAAGTTGCTCTGGACCTGTTAATTAAATGAAATATACATACACCAGGAATACTGGTAAATATATAAATTTGTTGACTGTATATTAAAAATTAAAGAATAATTATAGATATACACAATTACCTAACAGAAAGAAAATATCTTAATATCACTCACCAGTTTGACTGGAGATTAAGTTATATCATACTCAGAAAAACCTCACTAACTAAATTTATGAAAACACTGGCCAGAATTATACACAAATCTAGAGAGCTTATCTGAGGTTCCTGGAGAGGTCTTGTCCAGTCGCCTGATATCTCAAGTTATGCAGGAATGCACATCCACCAATTTCGCCTCCTATTTGGTGGCCTGGTCGGTGGCCCGGTGGCCTGGTGGCTAAAGCTCCCGCTTCACACACGGAGGGCCCGAGTTCGATTCCTGGCGGGTGGAAACATTTCGACACGTTTCCTTACACCTGTTGTCCTGTTCACCTAGCAGCAAATAGGTACCTGGGTGTTAGTCGACTGGTGTGGGTCGCATCCTGGGGGACAAGATTAAGGACCCCAATGGAAATAAGTTAGACAGTCCTCGATGATGCACTGACTTTCTTGGGTTATCCTGGGTGGCTAATCCTCCGGGGTTAAAAATCCGAACGAAATCTTATCTTATCTTATCTTATCTGTCAACACAATTTTAACCTCTAGAGCACGAAAATTTCTACCCATTCCACCAACGTTCTAATACAAATTCAAAACCCAGATGGCGAGTCTCCTGCCCAGATGCCGGCTTTCCATTTTCTATGACATAAATATTATTAAATACAGTATGGCCATCTATTTACATATAAATACTGAATTTCTGGAAAATATATACAGTATTTTCCACACATCAATCCACTCTCCCTCCTTCCTCTTCTCTCTCCACTCTCCACACTTCCTCTTCTTGCCGTCGTCCTCTTTCCCTCTCCTCCCTTCATTTCTAATTCTTCTAATATTTTTTTTCTTTTTATTTATAGTATTACTTGTAGAGTACAGTATAATTAATAATGTAGATTATTATTATATTATTATTATTATTACTATTATTATTATTATTATACTTTTCACAATAGAATGTTTCTTGTCTGGTTCTATATAATTTTATAACTTAAAAATGGAATTTTGTTTTTTCATTATCCTAGTAGTTTGCCAGAGAAAAAAAGTTGTTTTCCCAGTTACTTGTCTCTAGCAATTTATCATTAAAGTTTTTTTTTTCTCCAATATCGGCCGTTTCTCACCAAGGTAAGGTGACATGAAAAAGAAGAAAGACTTTCATCATCACTAGCTACATCACTGTCTTGCTAGAGACATTCTGAAACTACAGTTAAAAAACTGCAACATATTTCTATGTTACATTTCAGTATATCATCACATTTTCTAACCTTGATGTTGGTGAAGGGCCCTTGATTCAAGGAATTGGTAGTCTCCTTTTCATTGAATCAAATCCAATTGCCTCTTATTGTTGTTGTTATAATCAAAATGAAGTGCTTAACCTACATGGGTCATACAGTGCCTCTTATTGTCCTGTTCGAGTAAGCTTTTAATTTAACTTGCTAATGGAGGGGTTGTCCTAGTGAATTATTAAATTAGATTGTTTAAAAATAGCAGAGAAAAGCATTTATGTATTCTTTTGTATACCATATAGTACACACAATGTACACATATAGAGAGTTTATTTAGGCACAGGCATACGTAAGTACAATAATCATACACTGTAAATTACATAGGATAACACCCAAAAAAATGTCAGTGAAAATAATAGTTAAAAGTTTACTAAGCAGACTTTGCCTATAATTTCAAAAGTCCATCATATTGAATTTTTGCACACCATTACAGGGTTAGCTCTTTCTTATGAGTGTAATACTGTGTAATTACTTTTCTGACATAAAAATTGTGCATTCATTGCAGGGGCCGGTGGCGGAGGAGTGGTGAGCTCAAGCAGCAGCAGAGGTATGTTCACGGTGATGGGTAAAAGTGTCACCTATTCTGGCCAGCACTTTGTTGCAGAGGGGGAAAAGTTCTCCATTACTTGCACCCTTGATGTTAATGACTATCTGCAGTGGACTTTGAATAACAGACCTATTATTCCTGGGGAGGCTGGGTAAGGGATTTGAGAGCTGCACAGTAGGTTTGTTTCTGTGGTTAAAAGAATATGTTCTGTATGTGATTTTAAACAACTGGACATGAAATACAGTATATAGTATATGTAATGAGCTATATAAGAAACTAGTATTAAAATTTGTTTTAGTAAACTGATAGTAATAAAGCAAAAACAGGACGTAGAAATATGTGCACACAAATATAACACAAGCTTAGAATATGCGTTATGCAGAACTTATCAATTTTAGTAAATATTATTATAGAGAATTTGGCTGACCATTTACTGTATTTCGCATCTTATTAGACACATGTTTTTTCCTCATAAAATGTCTCCAAAAACCACCCTGCATCCTACAAACTGAAGGTCAGTGATGGGAGCTATTAGTTTGGGATGTGGGGTAGGCTGTAGCTCTCCCAGTTACGTCTGATGCCGAGCCATTGAAACTAAAACAAGTCTTATCAGCTGCATCTTATAAGCCGCGAAATACGGTACTTAATGGTCTGTCCACTCTGTACTGAGCAATCCTTTATTTTCAGAATGATTGTTTTCTGTATATAAAGGTTTACTTTGCGCAGTCTTTGACTACATTTGTTGGCAAGTCTTGGCATCCATCATTATGCTGTTGCCTCTGTGTAACAGGGAGCTTTCTGTAAAGTAGTTTCAATGTGTTGTTTCGTCCTCTATCAGTTGTATAATGTACTTTAAGTTATCGGTTGGATAACCATCCAGAGAGGTATCATCCTTTCAGTGATTGTGAAACTGAAGCCTGTTAAATGTTTGCACTCTTGCTAGGATTTCTCTTCTTTTTGTTTTATGTAGTGCACATGCAAGATGACAGGTAAACCTTGTTTCAGCTTACACTCAGTATACACTTACCTATATTTTTCTATGATTTTCATAATAGTCTCTCTTTCCTGTAATATTTGTTTTGCAATTTAGGAGCCATTTACCAGGATCAGGCAAGGGAAAGGATGATCTCTGAAACCATTAACAGATAATATATAAGCTATTTATTATTTTTTTTACAGCTTAATTCCCTGATTATAACAACTTTGTATTTTCACTTTAACTCTTCATTAATAACTCCTTTAGCATATTTTGCAGTAACTCATTTATCTGTGTGTGTACAGTACAGTGTATAGTACAGTGCACTGTATACTTGTACAGTATTTATATTTTTTATTTGGTAAAAAATTAGTGCAAAATTTTTTAAGAATATTGTGTGAATTTAAGTTATTCAATGTCAGATTTACTATGATAGAAGGCCCTGGACGGCAAGGATATATTATGAGTCGGATAATTGTGGTGAGATCTCATGCCTTCCACGCTGGAGAGTACAAGTGCACACCCTACAGCACTGAAGCACATTGGGTGTTTGTTATTGGTGGTAAGGCAGTAGAAAATTTGCTGGAAGTATTGATCAATTGCTGTGCTGTATTGATAATACAGTGGTATTGTTTGGAAAATGGTAATTAAATTAGAGCTAGCTGTATGTAATATCAGTAGCTCCCTTTTACTCATTTTTCCCAGCATGATCTCCAAGACACTACTGTGTGGTGCACCTCTTTTTCTTTTATGGGATAGAAAACGTATACTATTTTAAGATGTAATCTTTAATTTTTTAATGGGTGAATTCATAATGAATGTCTTAGCTAAATGGCCAAAACTTCCACTGAGGGGGGTCATGATAATCAAGAGAATCTTTGTATTTCTCCTTCCAAAAAAAAAAAAAAAATCACCACCATCATGAATGCCATTCAAGAAGAGGTACCATGTATATAATAGTTTCACTATAGTTTATTTTAAAAGTATTTGTTACTGATAAGTAAACTGATGCAGTACAGTATACTAGCACTGTACAGTAGTAGTAAAACTGTACCATATGTATTAGATGCTAAAGATCTGAAGGCTCTTTAAACAGTGTTTACCTGAAGTATATAGTACTGTATGGCTTTCATTGCCCTGCAAACTTTGTCACCTTGCGGTGTAGTGATGCTTGTTTATTATTTTACATGGAAATTATAGTAAATATTATCTTGTAAATCATCCTACAGGTGAAAGATGTTAGAAAAATATGAAAATAATTAAATTAATTTTTATTAAAAAATGGTTATAACAAAACAGTAAGCCTGTGCTTTAATGAACTAATAGGGAATAGCAGGTGGCTAGCAGTTGTGATTGTAATGGATAGAGATGAGATTGCTTTGCTGTTGTAATGGATAGAGATAAGATTGCTTTGCTGTCTTGTAACATCGGACAATTTTGTAACCTCCTGGACTTTGTTGTTACCAAATCAGTTGACCCAGTGGATTCTGTCACATATTTCTGAAGTCTGTCAAATTGACGGTTTACTGTATTTTTTAATATAATACAGGCACTCCTCACTTAATGACTATTAAATCTTCGTTAGTTATCTCTCCCTCGACATATTCCACTAATTCTTCAGTATCTTTCACTTCAACCAACTGGATGGAGAGCTGGTCATAAGTCTGTGCTGTCATTAAACAGGTAGGTCGTTAAGTGAGGAGTGTCTGTACTGTCAATGGTACAATATTTGTATAGTATTTAATTGATTTAATCTTTTAAAATTAAGCAATTTTTATTTAGTGCAGCAAATCTCACTTTTTTTTCTTATATCAGGTTCGCTCACAGACACAGAGGGAACTCGGCGTCTCCAGGAAGGTAAACCCTTACTACTGACCTGTGACTCCAATGCAACAGAACATCACGCTATATGGTATGTATCTAAAAGTATTCTTGAACATTAAGAATGCTAGACTCGATTGAATTGTGGTATCTGCAGACTTCTGGCAAAACTACTGTTGAGTGAAAGATTTGGAATGTGCTATTTTGTTTTTTCACAATACCTGCGTGATTAAAAAATAAAATACTATGGGTAAATTTTTATTGGCTTACTATCTGTGTAAGCCAGATAGTAAGCTGGCTTACACAGCTTACTATCTGTAAGCTGTGTAAGCTTACAGATAGTAAGCTTATCTGAATTGTAAATAGTAAGCTTATCTGAATTCAGATATCATACTAAATTCAGTGAAATATAATTCAGTTCCATAAGTGGAATGCATACACAAGATGGCCCTGCATATACAGTGCCGATTTTTGGTGTTCCACAATTTTGTTGTCTTTCAGTTGAGCCATTGTTCCACCCTCCAGTGACTACCGCTTGCGGGTGGAACATAATGAAGAATGGATCAGTTTGAATCCAGCGAAAACATGGAACACCAAAAAGAAGGTGCTGTATATGTGGGGCCCTCCTGTATTATTCATACTTTACTGAATCAACCCAAGGTAAGGTGTGTAATTCAACCTATAGCATCTTGACATTTAATTACAGATGTATAGCTAATAAGAGATGTTTGGTGCCTAATTCATATCCTGTTATAAATTTTCAAACAAAAAGTTAGGAAACATTAATATCTCTCTCTTCAGAATTCTCCAATTTCCAAATACAGTAATAGAAATTCAAAATATTCCGAATTACTGTATAGAAAACTTCAGAGTTGAAAGTTTTCAGCATGTTCAGGGTAACTTTGTTACCATGAATGTGTGGCCATCAATTTACATACAGTTGTCGTAGAATTAAACTTAAACATTAAAATGATAAACCCTCGCCAAATTTGACCTAGCCAGGCAGGCCATGGATGTTGTTCAGAAATTTATTTTTGACTAAACATGTGTTACTATTACTTTTTCCAGTCTCACTTCCTTCCCAGCCCAAGAAAGATGGTGACTTGTTGCTAGTGAAGGGCTGTGATCGAAGATTTTGAGATATGTATAGTACTTTCTTGAATCAAACACGATTAACTTCACTTTCCAAGGCAGTGTACGACCCCCTATGGGTTTAGTGTTTATTTTTTAATATAATAATTTTGAAGTTAATAATGTAATTTTATTTTTACATGAAATTTATCAACCTGAAGGATGAAGGATGGAGAGGAAGTTACAGAAAGTGACCACATAAAGCTGTTCCCAAACTCTAGTTTGTACATTGGTTTCCCTCATCAAAAGTGACCGGGGCAATTACCGTGAAAATTTTTTCAGAGGCCTTGAGAAAAGTTTTTTATTTGTTGGGTAAGAGGTTTGTTGTCTCAGTTTAATTTTTACTGTACATTATGCAGTATGCTGATTACTCTAAGAATATTTTATTTCTTATTTTTTTAAAGCATTTTAAAAAGGGGATTCGTAGGTAGATATTTTGTCGGGGGGTAAAATACACATGAACTGGGATAGTTATGGTGTCTAACATGAAAAAAGAAAAGATTTTTGTCCCAGCAAGGTGTACATTTGAATTGTTTCTGTAAACTTGTAAAAAGTGGCCAAATTAAAAAAAACATATAGGAGAGTCAGGTACAGGAACTTTCCAAGGAATTTGGGGTTTTAAAAAAGTTCTTTTTTCAGAGAGTAAGCGTTTTTGAAAATGGGAAAAAAGTCAAATAAAGAATGAAAAATAAAGCAAAGGAAAAGGGTTCTGGAACATAACTAGTCTTTTTTAACTCTTTCTTATTGTCAATAATTTTGCTTTATTATTTTGTTTAAAAAAGATGAGAAAACTCATAAAATCATTTAACATTCAAGGTATATTTCCCTTAAAATTTTTGACTTATATTGTTTGCTCTACCCGAAACCCCAATTTTTCTATAAAAAAACACATTTGATAACCTTGTTTACGTTTAGTTATTCTGTATATACACCAAGTTTTTTTTATTTTCTATTTTAAACTACATGAGCAGGCTAAGCCTTGTCCAATATTTAATATTACTCTTTTTTTTTCTCTCTCTCTCTTCTTATTAACACATCAGCCATTTCCCCGTTCCCAGGGATGTAACCCATCTTGCCTTTTTTGAAACTTGTTTCACTGTTGAAAGGAACATTTTCTAGTTCCTCCTTGCCTCCCCTTCCTTGTTTAGTTTAAAAGCTACCTCTTATTCTCCTGATGTAATGGTTTTACAAAATTCCTTCAATTTTATTCCACCCCCTTATAAAAATACTTTAAGGCAACCACGCCAGTAACCATAATTTTTTCTATACTTTAAAGTTTCAGAATTTTGGTTTCTTTTTTCAACAAATCATTGTATCCCCCGGGGCGGGGGTTAAAAAAGAAAAAAAAAAAAGTTTTCTTTTGAACTTCAGTCATGTATACAGGAAAAGGGGTTTTACTACCCCCTTGCCCCTGGCTTTTTTGTTGCCTCTTACACATGCATGGTTAAGAGGAAAAATTTGCTCCGCTTCCCCATGGATAGAATTATATTTATTTAAAAAATATATTCCTTTAAGGAGAAGAACCTTCCTCCTTAAGTCATTGCGTGTTGCAAGAGGTTTTTAAAATCCCAGGAGAAAGGGGTTAGTGACCCCTTCTCTGTATAAATTCTAATTTGTAAAAAAAAAAAAGTCATTTCTTTTTCAGGTCATCCTGCTTTGGTGGGAATGGCTAGTGTGTTAAAAAAAACATCCTTTGTGTTTTATGTATAGGTCCTTTTTCAGAACTCTCTCTTCATAAAAAAATGCCAAAGTCCAAACAGTGGGGAGAATGACAAAAGCCCTCCATGTCAGGTTCGGGGTGATCCTATTCCCTGTTCAGTGGCTGAAAGGTAAGATTTTAAAATGTTTAATTAGAACAAAGCAAATGATAGTTGTATAGATGCATAGGCTGTCTACAACTTGTATATCCCAAATTAATGTCCTTGTCGTCCCGTCGTCCCTTCGTGTCCTCTTCGTCGTCCTCGCCCTCGTCGTCCTCGTCATCGTGCCCTCCTCCTCCTCGCCCTGTCGTCCTCCCGCATTGTCATCCTCTCTCCTCTCGCCCTCCTGTCCCCCTCCCCTCGTCCCCTCGTCTCCCCCCCCCCCTCCTCTCCTCCTTGTCCTCTTGCCATTCCTCCCCCCTCGTCCTCCTTGCCGTCGTCCTCCCCCTCGCCCCTCCTCCTCGCCCTCTCCTCGCCTCCTCCTGCCCTCCCCCCCCCCTTCCTCCTCCTCCTCGTCCTCCTCGTCGTCGTCCTCCTCCCCCTCCTCCTCCCCCCTCCTCCTCCTCCTCTCCTCCTACTCGTCGTCCTCCTCCTCCTCCTCTCGTGTCGTCCCCCTCCTCCTCCCTCCTCCTGTCCTCTTTCCCCCCATCCTCATCCTCCCGTCCTCCTCGTCCCCCTCCCATCCTCCTCGTCCTCCTCCCCCTCCTCTCCTCCTCCCTCCCCCTCCTCCCCTCCTCCTCCTCCGTACTATACTCAAAAACCATATAACTACTCTCTACAATTTCCTTTACCAAACCATACTTGCCCTTTTTTTTTTTCTTTTTCCTCTTTTTGTCCCACCCCGCCCATCTTTATTAGTACCGGCTCCCTCATATTCATGCGTTATGGACTAGTCGTGGTCCACTCGGGCCCAAATGCCGTCATAAGCTTCTTTTCCTATGTGTGGTTATTTGTGTATTTTTTTAAAAAATTTGCAGTTAGCAGTCTTTCTGGTAAAGAAAAACTAAATTAAAATTTAAATGACAAATTTTAAAAGTCTTCAGTTGAAAAGTTATCAAAAATTTCAAAGCAGATAGACACTGGGAAACACTAATTTTGCAACCCCCGACTGCAGTATAATCAGGAAATACAACTACCCGTCCTCCCATTGTTTTACACAACTAGTCATGTTAAAAAATCCGGGAAATTTTGCAACTTCTTGAAAGCTGGGACCGTTTATTGAATACCACTTTTCGTGTGGTGCTTTGAGCAAATAAAGGGGCTCTTGTTTTAAAGGGAATTCATTCTACCCCCCCCCTTGTAACAAACCAAAACCTATTTATTTCAAAGGCCCCTGGTGAGTCATGTATTAAGTAGTAGAACGTGAAAAAAGAATACCCCAAAATTATAGTAAAAATTTAAAATTCAATTTTTTTTTTTATTTTTCTCAGTATTCAAAATGTAGTTTACATGAGCATATTAGATAGGAGTTAATGGTGACAATGGTTTTTAGGATTTACATGCGTTAAGTTGTGGCAAAGTAACATTTAAAAGGGGATTTTCGGGGAAAACCCCGGGGGGTGGACTTGGTTGGAGATGGGAATACACTGCCTGCATCTGAAGGGAAAGGGGTTAAATTGCAGTTTTAGACGTGTGGATTCACCTCTGACAAGCAGTGAGGGGTGAATAATATGAAAGGTTTTTTTTTTTGGGCCCCCCTGCTCTGGTGGGAATGGTGATGTACTAATAAAAAAAAACGTGAGATATAAGCGACTAATGGCAGAAAGGGGGCTATGCAAAGATGAGTGTGGGGGGGGTTGAAGAGGGTTGGAAAAGTTTTTAAAAAGGGAGTATTAAAATTTGGGGGAGAAGTTTGTGGTTATAGGGGGTGGGCGCGGGGAAAGAGGAGTGATTGGTGGGAAAGATGAAATAAAGGTGTGATAAAAAAGAAAAAAAATGCTTATGAGAGGTTTTTTCAAAGCAGAATGTTATAAGAAGAGCAGAGTTTGGAGAGTAAAAGAAAGGTAAAGGAGTGGTGAGAGAGTACAAAGGAGGCAGATGATAGAGGGGAGGGCACTGTCAAGAAATTTTTAAAGAAAAATTAAAAAAAAATTTTGGGGGTGAGTTAAACAAGTTAAGAAAGCCTAGGGAAGTATGGATTTGTCAGTTAAAAAAAGAGAGGGGGGTTAGTAAGGGGAGATGGGGTATTTGGGGATGGCAATATTTTTTGAGGAACTTTTAAAATTTTTAAGGAAAAAAAGAGAGGAGTAATTTCATGCACTGGTCAGGGAGGGATACCCTCTTTTTTGGAGTGAAGAAGGCAGAATGTAAATGTGGGGGGGGTACGTGAGGCATTTTGTGAATGAAAAAGGGGGAAAGCAGCTGGAATGATGGGTCATGACAAAAAAGTTAAAAACGGGGGGGTATAGTGTTGGAGTGGGTTGGGACTTTTGTTTAATAAAAAGTATGAAAGGGGAAAGGTACCTGGGATTGGAGAGAGCATGCATAGTCCCTTTATATAAAGGGGAAAAAAGGGGCAAAGAGACTGTAAAAATTATAGAGGAATAGTTTACGAGTATCCCGGGAAAAGTTACGGTAGGGTTATAATTGAAAAAATTAGAGGTAAGACAAATGTAGGGTTTGGGGTAGCAAGGAGGTTTCAGGCGTGTAGGGGATGTGAGATCAAATGTTTTTGGGAGTTGGAGGGATATGTTGTGTATCTTTATGCGTATATGCTTCTAAACTGTTGTATTTGGCACCCCGCAAAAACGTGTAATGTTTGAGTGTGGTGAAAATGTTGAATGATGATGAAAGTTTTTCTTTTTGGGATTTCTTTCTTTTTTTTGGGTCACCCTCCTCGGTGGGAGCCCCGACTTGTTGAAAAAAAAAAATTGAACCGTATTTGATAAAAGGTAGGGAAGTTTTTTTTGCATTTATGGATTTTGAAAAGGCATTGATAGAGTGATAGAGGGGGAAAGTGGCGATGTTGCAAGTACAGTAATGGAATGGTGGGAAGTTATTAAATGCTGTAAAAGGGTTTTTTTGAGGATAGTGAGGTCAGGTTTGGTGTGTAGAAGGAGGGAGCTACTTCCCGGTAAAGAGGTCTTAACAGGATGTGTAATGTCACCTGGTTTTTTAATATAGTTTTTTAAAGGGGTTTTAAAGGGAAATAAGCTAGGGGGGTTTTGGGGGGGGGGGATTAAATTTTGGGGGAACAAAACAAAATGGGAATTGACCCGTTACTTTTTTTGATGAACTGGCTTATGGGAGATTCAAAAAAAAAATTCAAAGGTTAGTGGTAGTTTGGGATGTGTGAAAGGTAAAAGTTTAAATGAAATAGAAAAGAGAAGGGGTGAGGGTAAAAAAGAAGGTGTGATGGTATCAAATGATTTAGATAAAGAAAAATTGGATATAAAAATTGGGGAGGAAGAGTATGGAAGAAGTGAATGTTTTCAGATACTTGGGAGTTGACGTGTCGGCGGATGGATTTATGAAGGATGAGGTTAATCATAGAATTGATGAGGGGAAAATAGGTGAGTGGTGCATTGAGGTATATGTGGAGTCAAAAAACGTTATCTATGGAGGCAAAGAAGGGAATGTATGAAAGTATGTAGTACCAACACTCTTATATGGGTGTGAAGCTTGGGTGGTAAATGCAAGCAGCGAGGAGACAGTTGGAGGCAGTGGAGATGTCCTGTTTAAGGGCAATGTGTGGTGTAAATATTATGCAGAAAATTCGGAGTGTGGAAATTAGGAAAAGGTGTGGAGTTAATAAAAGTATTAGTCAGAGGGCAGAAGAGGGGTTGTTGAGGTGGTTTGGTCATTTAGAGAGAATGGATCAAAGTAGAATGACATGGAAAGCATATAAATCTATAGGGGAAGGAAGGCGGGGTAGGGGTCGTCCTCAAAAGGGTTGGAGAGAGGGGGTAAAGGAGGTTTTGTGGGCAAGGGGCTTGGACTTCCAGCAAGTGTGCATGAGCGTGTTAGATAGGAGTGAATGGAGACGAATGGTACTTGGGACCTGACGATCTGTTGGAGTGTGAGCAGGGTAATATTTAGTGAAGGGATTCAGGGAAACCGGTTATTTTCATATAGTCGGACTTGAGTCCTGGAAATGGGAAGCACAATGCCTGCACTTTAAAGGAGGGGTTTGGGATATTGGCAGTTTGGAGGGATATTTTGTGTATCTTTATATGTGTATGCTTCTAAACTGTTGTATTCTGAGCACCTCTGCAAAAACAGTGATAATGTGTGAGTGTGGTGAAAGTGTTGAATGATGATGAAAGTATTTTCTTTTTGGGGATTTTCTTTCTTTTTTGGGTCACCCTGCCTCGGTGGGAGACGGCCGATTGGAGTTTGCTGGGCACAAAAGAAAGCCACTATCATGCAGTGTGTTTCAGGGACTTCTGAGTGAAGTAATAGATGGAATGAAAATGATTTGTCTTAAGATGCTCTTCAAAACTGCTGTTTTGCCAGAGTTCTGAGCTGCAGTTATAGTTATTAGATGCATGTGAAATTTTACTTGGAAGATGATTGTCTCTCATGTTAAAATTTTGAAGATGGATGATAAAAATTTTAATTTTCTTCATTTTCCTATTTTTGACACTTCACCAGATGGAGAATTACTTCAGGACATCATCAACTCTTCAAGACTTGCCTTGTCTGAAAATGAGCACCACGTCCCCAATGCCACTCTACTAATCAAACCTGTAATGAAAACAGATGATGGAAACTACATTTGCCTTATCTCCCAGTATACAATCCAGTGGAACACAACTACAGATGTGCGAGTCAAAGGTAAAATATTGATGGGATGTCTTTGATTTTACATTCTTACTTTCTTAAATTAGGCCTCTTCATTTTTTCACTCATTTTCTCTAAACAATATGTTATGAATGCATTATTAGTACAGGAGGGCCCTCACGTATACAGCTTCCTCTTTGCAGTGTTCCATGTTCTCATTGACTTTCAGTTGAGCCATTGTTCATTATGTTTGGTGCTTTTTCCGTTTTTCTGCTGTTATCGCCGTTTTCGTTCAACATTTGCATAAAGGAATGATGACTGGTACCATATTTTAAGGTAAGTATTGTATGTAGCATGTATTTATTTTACTTTTTTCTATGCCTAGCTGTATCGAGCACTTAATATATGATAGTATAAACATGTAATCAGGCGTTTTAGACATATTCAATAATGAAAAATCAGCTCTTTTTCACCTGCCTGTGATCTTTGCTTTTCGTTTGATGTCGTGAGCCTTAGAGCCATGTGAATGTGGCCTTCTTGTACAGTTTATGCTCGGTTATCCAGTGAATATTGTAAACTGGTTGAACGGCTGAGATGAAAATAGCCAGGTAACGGTGGGAATAGCTCTAATATCTAGCTTACTAAAGAGAAAAGGGTTAAAAAAATATCCCAAATAAATAATGGAGATAATGATTAACTGCACTGCTCTGAAATAAGTCCGGTTAATGGGGCAACTCAGGGATGCCTCTATGCTCCTGGCTAGTCCAGTGACCTTCCTTTGTCTGCTTCCTTTTTGTCACTTCATGCTGTTAATTGACTACATTGAGAATTATTTTGTAAAATAATATTTTTTACAGGTATATTTATACAAATTTGGATATTTGGTATTTGATAGCTGGATACTGATTTGTTAGTTTCCTGTTTGCTTGGTGCAATTTTGTCATTAGATGTGGGCTCCGTATTACATTTTTCTAAGGCCATTATTCAAATTTAAGTTTTATTTATTTACTCTCTTTTAGAATAAAATATGCAGATTTATTATATGAAAATGCTCTGGGACTTGTTCTATTGTATAAACAAGAAAAAAATCTGATCCCCTACTTTCAAAGCATTTAACTGGGTGGCCCTGAATCCAACAGGTTCTTTATCGTATAGTTTGGATAGTCAAAAGTTAACTTTATCTGTATAGTGAGAGAGACTTTCCTGTAGGTATACAAAAGGGCCCCATTTGTATGGCTCTAGGTTCCTGATTCCATACAGTAAACAAAAATTACTTGCGGTGGAAAAGAGCAGTTTTTTCATTATCGAATGCCTCTAAAATGCCTGATAATGTGCTTGGACGATCATATATTAAGTGCTCAATGCAGTTAGCCATAAAAAAAAGATTAAAAAATTAATTAAATCTACAGTACATACAATGCTTACCTTAAAATGTGGTGCTGATTGCCCTTCCCTTACACAACTGTTGTAAGAAAATGGTGGAAAAGGCGGAAAGCAGCAGAAAAGGCTCAATTGAAAGCCAAATAAAATGTGGAGCCCCGAAAAGAAGGTGCTGTATGTGTGGGCCCTCCTGCATTACCTGTACCCATGCAGGTAGAGTATGTGGCACCTTAGCCTTCCATCTGTTATATTTATAGCTCATTCTCTCTATAATGTACTATACTATAAAATTTACAAAATACAATATACACACACTAAAGCTTGAGTTAAAAGACTTTTTTTTGTTTCTCCTTATAATTTCACAATAAAATGAAAATATATGATCATAAAGCCACTCTTAAAAAAATTTTAATCCAGTATTATGGTGTAATGCCACATTGCTCTCCTGTGTCTTGCCAAATTGTGCTAGCGTATGTGCAATGGAAAATATAATGGGACTGCTGTATGAGTACAGTGGTACCTCGGGATACGAACTTTTTTTGTTCCAGAAGGCTGTTCAAATGCTGATACCGAACGAATTTGTTCCCATAAGAAATAATGTAAATTAGATTAGTTTGTTTCAGACCCCCAAAAATACACTTACAAAAGCACTTACATAAAGCACTTGCAAAAGCACTTACATAATTGATCGAGTTTTGAGCTGTTCGTAACCCGAGGTACCACTGTATAGGAAAGATTTTGCAGTTGAACAATTAGTGTGTTCAGTATTCAACATACAGTTAGGAGTATGTAGATATTGTATTGAGGCTTTGATTTTTATATAGCCTGGATTTTACTATACAGGGCTTTAGTGTTAAACTTTAGGGGTAATTACTATATGCCAGAGAGGAGAAAATAATAGCAGCATTATAGGTGCTCTTCAACTAAGGATGATTCAGCTTATGATATTTCAACTTTACTATAGTGCAGAAGCAATTACTTTGGACATGTATGAGAACAGCATGAGAACAGCAAAATCATGACTTGTATTTATTTATTTACTTATCAATATTGGTATTTACTTAGAGTAATTATTTGTTTATTTACTTATTCAGTGACAGTGGTTATTTACTTATTTAGCATATTATATTCATATCCAACTTAGGAATTTTTCGACTTAAAACGGGTTTGCCGGAATATAACCCCATTGTAAGTCAAGGACCACCTGTATTTATCTCCTCTTAAAATTATCTTTCAGAGGGAGTGTCTGGAAGCCATTAAGGGGTTCCTAATTCAAGGAACAGGGGTTATCCTCATTTTTCTTGGATTAAACCTAATTACCTCCTATTTCCCAGGAACTGTATGACACTACAGGTTTAGTGTTTCCTCATGCAAATAATGATCCTCTTAAAGAAACCTTGTGCTCTTGTATTTTTACATCTTAGTACTGTGTTATTTCTGTTTGATGTCCTGCTGGCTTTTGTACTAAATTTCAATAATTTTCAGACATTTATGCTGCATTGTGGCCTTTTCTGGGCATTGTAGCTGAGGTTGTGTTGTTGTGTACAATTATCTTCATCTATGAGAAGCGCCGCATAAAGCCAAACTTTGATGACTCTGATACTGACCAGATAGCAGAACAGTAAGTCAATTTTATATGAAAGAATTTTGCCTCAGAATTTCTTTTGTTTAGCATTTGTGTTCCACAGGTTAAGCCTGATACAAATTCTTGTAGCCAGCATTGTATTGACCCTCTGTTTCTTCCATGGTATGGTGAAGGATTGACACCAGGTCTTCTGTGGTTTAGATAGCACAAACCTATTAGTAAAAAAAAAATAAAAACATACAGACAAGAGGGTGTCCCGTGGCCTGATAGCTAAAGCTCTCGCTTCACACGGCAAGGGTCTGGGATCGATTAACAGTGCTGGTAGAAACTTTGGACGTGTTTCTTTACACCGGTTGTTTATGTTAACCCATCAGTAAAATGGGTACCTAGGTGTTAGTCGACTGGTGTGGGTCGCATCCTGGGACAAGGACCTAATTTGCCTGAAATGCTCTGCATAGCAAGGGGCTTTCTATACAGTAGTATGTTATTCATGTCAGCTAGGTCTGTATACCATGTATGTGTACTTGTAGTAAATAAAGATCTTTCTTTCAAAAGAAAAATAATAATAATAATAATAAAATAATAATAAAGATATTTTATTATTATTATTATTATTTTTTTTTTATTATTATTATTATCACACTGGCCGATTCCCACCAAGGCAGGGTGGCCCGAAAAAGAAAAACTTTCACCATCATTCACTCCATCACTGTCTTGCCAGAAGGGTGCTTTACACTACAGTTTTTAAACTGCAACATTAACACCCCTCCTGTACTTCCCATCTCCAGGACTCAAGTCCGGCCTGCCGGTTTCCCTGAGCCCCTTCATAAATGTTACTTTGCTCACACTCCAATAGCACGTCAAGTATTAAAAACCATTTGTCTCCATTCACTCCTATCAAACACGCTCACGCATGCCTGCTGGAAGTCCAAGCCCCTCGCACACAAAACCTCCTTTACCCCCTCCCTCCAACCTTTCCTAGGCAGACCCTTACCCCGCCTTCCTTCCACTACAGACTGATACACTCTTGAAGTCACTCTGTTTCGCTCCATTCTCTCTACATGTCCGAACCACCTCAACAACCCTTCCTCAGCCCTCTGGACAACAGTTTTGGTAATCCCGCACCTCCTCCTAACTTCCAAACAACGAATTCTCTGTATTATATTCACACCACACAGTGCCCTCAGACATGACATCTCCACTGCCTCCAGCCTTCTCCTAGCTGCAACATTCATCACCCATGCTTCACACCCATATATGAGCGTTGGTAAAACTATACTCTCATACATTCCCCTCTTTGCCTCCAAGGACAAAGTTCTTTGTCTCCACAGACTCCTAAGTGCACCACTCACCCTTTTCCCCTCATCAATTCTATGATTCACCTCATCCTTCATAGACCCATCCGCTGACACATCAACTCCCAAATATCTGAATACATTCACCTCCTCCATACTCTCTCCCTCTAATCTGATATCCAATCTTTCATCACCTAATCTTTTTGTTATCCTCATAACCTTACTCTTTCCTGTATTCACTTTTAATTTTCTTCTTTTGCACACCCTACCAAATTCATCCACCAATCTCTGCAACTTCTTCAGAATCTCCCAAGAGCACAGTGTCATCAGCAAAGAGCAACTGTGGCAACTCCCACTTTATGTTTGATTCTCTATCTTTTAACTCCACGCCTGTTGCCAAGACCCTCGCATTTACTTCTCTTACAACCCCATCTATAAATATATTAAACAACTACGGTGACATCACACATCCTTGTCTAAGGCCTAGTTTTACTGGGAAATAATTTCCCTCTTTCCTACATACTCTAACTTGAGCCTCGCTATCCTCGTAAAAACTCTTCACTGCTTTCAGTCACCTACCTCCTACACCATACACCTGCAACATCTGCCACATTGCCCCCCTATCCACCCTGTCATACGCCTTTTCCAAATCCATAATTGCCACAAAGACCTCTTTAGCCTTATCTAAATACTGTTCACTTATATGTTTCACTGTAAACACCTGGTCCACACACCCCCTACCTTTCCTAAAGCCTCCTTGTTCATCTGCTATCCTATTTTCCGTCTTATTCTTAATTCTTTCAATAATAACTCTACCATACACTTTACCAGGTAAGCTCAACAGACTTATCCCCCTATAATTTTTGCACTCTCTTTTGTCCCCTCTGCCTTTATACAAAGGAACTATGCATGCTCTCTGCCAATCCCTAGGTACCTTACCCTCTTCCATACATTTATTAAATAATTGCACCAACCACTCCAAAACTATATCCCCACCTGCTTTTAACATTTCTATCTTTATCCCATCAAACCCGGCTGCCTTACCCCCTTTCATTTTACCTACTGCCTCACGAACTTCCCCCACACTCACAACTTGCTTTTCCTCACTCCTACAAGATGTTATTCCTCCTTGCCCTATACACGAAATCACAGCTTCCCTAACTTCATCAGCATTTAACAATTCCTCAAAATATTCCCTCCATCTTCCCAATACCTCTAACTCTCCATTTAATAACTCTCCTCTCCTATTTTAACTGACAAATCCATTTTTTCTCTAGGCTTCCTTAACTTGTTAATCTCACTCCAAAACTTTTTCTTATTTTCAACAAAATTTGTTGATAACATCTCACCCACTCTCTCATTTGCTCTCTTTTTACATTGCTTCACCACTCTCTTAACCTCTCTCTTTTTCTCCATATACTCTTCCCTCCTTGCATCACTTCTACTTTGTAAAAACTTCTCATATGCTAACTTTTTCTCCCTTACTACTCTCTTTACATCATCATTCCACCAATCGCTCCTCTTCCCTCCCGCACCCACTTTCCTGTAACCACAAACTTCTGCTGAACACTCTAACACTACATTTTTAATCCTACCCCATACCTCTTCGACCCCATTGCCTATGCTCTCATTAGCCCATCTATCCTCCAATAGCTGTTTATATCTTACCCTAACTGCCTCCTCTTTTAGTTTATAAACCTTCACCTTTCTCTTCCCTGATGCTTCTATTCTCCTTGTATCCCATCTACCTTTTACTCTCAGTGTAGCTACAACTAGAAAGTGATCTGATATATCTGTGGCCCCTCTATAAACATGTACATCCTGAAGTCTACTCAACAGTCTTTTATATACCAATACATAATCCAACAAACTACTGTCATTTTGCCCTACATCATATATTGTATACTTATTTATCCTCTTTTTCTTAAAATATGTATTACCTATAACTAAACCTTTTTCTATACAAAGTTCAATCAAAGGGCTCCCATTATCATTTACACCTGGCACTCCAAGCTTACCTACCACACCCTCTCTAAAAGTTTCTCCTACTTTAGCATTCAGGCCCCCTACCACAATTACTCTCTCACTTGGTTCAAAGGCTCCTATACATTCACTTAACATCTCCCAAAATCTCTCTCTCTCTCCTCTACATTCCCCTCTTCTCCAGGTGCATACACGTTTATTATGACCCACTTTTCGCATCCAACCTTTACTTTAATCCACATAATTCTTGAATTTACACATTCATATTCTCTTTCCTCCTTCCATAACTGATCCTTCAACATTACTGCTACCCCTTCCTTTGCTCTAACTCTCTCAGATACTCCAGATTTAATCCCATTTATTTCCCCCCACCGAAACTCCCCTACCCCCTTCAGCTTTGTTTCGCTTAGGGCCAGGACATCCAACTTCTTTTCATTCATAACATCAGCAATCATCTGTTTCTTGTCATCCGCACTACATCCACGCACATTCAAGCATCCCAGTTTTATAAAGTTTTTCTAATTCTCTTTTTTAGTAAATGTCTACGGGAGAAGGGGTTACTAGCCCATTGCTCCCGGCATTTTAGTCGCCTCATATGACACGCATGGCTTACGGAGGAAAGATTCTTTTCCACTTCCCCATGGACAATAGAAGAAATAAAGAAGAACAAGAGCTATATAGAAAAAGGAGAAAAACCTAGATGTATGTATATATATATGCATGTGCGTGTCTGTGAAGTGTGACCAAAGTGTAAGTAGGAGTATCAAGATATCCCTGTTATCTAGCGTGTTTATGAGACAAAAATTATTATTATTCATGTTAGGTATCATTCTGCTAATTATTGAAGAATGTTAAGTGTTTTTTACCTGTATTGAAATATATCTGTAGAGACTAAATATTATTGTTTTAAAGTGCTCATAAATTTCTATTAATGATTAACATACTGAAGATTACTGTGTGTTTTGAATTCTGGCATAATTGTTGGGCTTTTCTTTCTGAAAATCTCATGAAGATATAAAATAGCAGGTAAACCTTACAAATTTCTGACTACATTCTGTATACTCTATTCTTAACTTTAATGTGTTTTTCTAAACACTGTATATCTCATTTCTGTAATATTTTTTTATCTGGATGAAGAATAAGACACTTGGGCAATATTTAGAAATGTTTATTGGAGAAATGTTTTGCCAGCCAGTAGCTTCTTCAGTACAGAGAAGTATGGAGAAAATTTAGGAGTTTGAGGTAGTCAATCCCTCAGCCTGGAGTTGATGTGTTCAGTCCATCATTCTTGAATATTTACATTGACTCCAGACTGAGAGACAGTACTTCAAATTTATCCGCAGTTTTCTCCGTTCTTCTCTGTATTGGACTGAAGAAGCCACTGGCTCGGTTTTCTGAATCAGTTACATCTCATTTCCTATCTACTTTGAGATCTGTGCTAAAACTGGGCCATGGGGAAAATGATCTCTGGAACTGTTAAAATATAACAAATGTTTTTTTTTTTTCATTGTAAGGCCTGTACTTGTCATCCTTATTTTTCTATTTTTGACATGGTACAGCTGTCATGGTTAAACTGTTAACTTGTCTTCTTATTGACTTTGCCTTCAACATGCCATTACCACTCTTCACAAACAACTGAAAAATTATATTAGTGCATACAGGAATATTTTCTTTTTACTAGGGGTGTGCCAAAGTAAAATTATTAGTCATTATCTGCTAATTTTGATGGTATCAGCATTGACCTAAAATTGAGTATTGGTATCAGCAAATAGTTTGGTATCATCGCATCCCTATTCTCTACATATATTTTTTTCAACAAGTCGGCCATCTCCCACTGAGGCAAGGTGACATATTTTTATATATTTTGTGTATCTAGTTCTTTTTATTTAGCACCAGTACTTTTTTTATTAAATTGTCAGAAGCAGCTCGATTGCATACAGGCAAACAGGTTTTAGGGATGGTAGGGGATGTGTAGACTAGTGGTTCTCATTGAAGCTTATAAGGGAACAGTACTTGAAAGAAGGTAAGGAGCTATGTGTTGCATTTATGTATTTAGAAAAGTATTGATATAGTGGATAGGGGAGTAGTGTGACCAGTGTTGCAAGTGTATGGAACAGGTGGTAGGTTACTAGAAGCAGTAAAGAATTTTTATGTTGCTAATGAGGTTCAAGTTAGGGTATGTGAGAGTTGGACTATTTTTCTTTAAAAGTAGGTCTTATAGACAGAGTTGTAAAAGTAAATGCTAGGATACTGAGGAGAGAAGTGGAATTGAAAGCTAATGAATCTTATACAAATGGGGAGGTGCCACAGTAATTCTTCGATGATGACACAGTTCTTTTGGGAAATTTTGAAAATAAATTGCAAAGGTTAGTGGAGGAATTTGAGCATTTATGTTGGAGAAGGAAATTAAGGGTGAGCATGGAAAACAAGGTGATGAGAGTAAGAAGTTTAAGTAATGAATGCTTGGATATCAGATTGGATGAAGGTAGTATGGAGTAAGTGAATATTTACGGATATGCAGAGAATTTGTAGGAGGTGTGGAGGTATTAAAAGTATTATTCAGAGGGCTGAGGAAGGGTTGTTGAGGTGGTTTTGGTTATTTAGAGAGGTTGGAGCAAAATAGGGTGATGTGGAGGATATATAAATCTGTAGTGGAGGGGAGGAGGGGTAAGGGTTGTCCTAGAAAAGGATGGAGGAAGAGGGTAAAAAGAGGTTTTGCATGCAAAGGGCTTAGATACACAGCAGGCATGTGTGTGAGTGTTAAATAGGAGAGAGTGGAAATGAATGGTTTTTTGTGACTTGACAAGCTGTTGGCGTGCGAGCATGATAATATTTTGTGGAACTATTCAAGGAAACTGGTTAGCTTGACTTAAGAGACCTGGAGGTGGGAAGTACAATGCCTGCACCTTAAAGGAATGGTTTGGGATATTGGTTGTTTGGAGTGACACCCGAACTGTTGTATCTGGGTGCCTCTGCAAAGACAGTGATTGTGTATGAATGATGGTGGAAGTGTTTCTTTCTCTTTTGGGTCACCCTGCCTTGGTGGGATATGGCCAGTTCATTAACAAAAAAAGTTCAATATATCTAACATGTAATAAATATTAATTTGCGTTAATTTATATTTGCAGGAAGAACCAAGTTGAAAACAACAAGGAGGCTGAAATAAGACAGAGGAAGTAGGGAAGTTGTACCACAACCTGAGGAACAAGAAAAATAGGCATCCTTTAAAAAACAGCTGTTGGACAGAAAGCACTGCCATAACGAGTGCTCATCAAATAATCGTACTATAGATTAGCAAAATTGATTTTACATATTAGAGATTTTAAGAAGAAATGTAAGAGCACTACCTCTTGAGAACCATTGATTACTAGGGAAGTAGATCAGATATTTGTATCTTTTTTGAGAAAGTTGTATTAAATTGAGTTTTTTTGTACATCTGCAGGAAGTGTAAATGTACTAAAAGAATTTAAAGAAAACCTAGTGTATTTATGTACATCCAGGCACATGTTCATTTTAGGTTTCAAGGGTGTAAATGGGTGTGTAAAATTATTCTACTCATTAATAGGAAAGATTATGTAAGCAGTGATTGATTTAGATTGAAAACATTAAACTACATTAAGAGCATTTTTACTTTTATAACAATAGCACAGTACATTGTTTACATAATAAATATCCATTTATAATAAAATCAAAATACATATATTAATTATTACAGTAATGGTTAACTAAAATAGGCACAGTGTAATAAGGTAGTAGATTTCTTTTGTTTTTTTTTCAACACTTGCTAAAAATTTTAGTGTTACTGCCCCATAAGAGTTGTATACATTCATTTTATGGCTTGTATATTTTTTATTTGTATATATTTCATAACTTGGGCTATGATGACCCATACTGTACAATTATATAAGATAGTTCTCATCTTTCAGTGTAGAGCACAATAAAAGTGAGAAAAGAAATGAGGCCTTTTTGCAAAGAACTTAATGGTAAATTATTCCATTCTTGATGTGAATAATTCTCCTCCATCAGCAAATATGTGGTGAAATTTTAAAGGAGTTGCATGCAGTATCTGAAATTATTCTTCCCAAATTAGTGTGTATATTGAAGAATGGGACACGTGCAACATTTGGGAATCTTTATTGAGGTAACATTTCACTAGCTAGTTGCTGCTTCAGTCCAATACGGAGAAAGATGAGGAGGAGTTTTAGGTAATCAGTCCCTTGGCCTGGAGTCAATTTATTCGGTCCATCAGTCTTGGCTGGCTAAGCATTTCCTCAGTAAAGATTGCCAAATGTTGCTCAAGTGTCTCATTCCTCAACTTGTCGGTTTTCTGCACTATTGACACCGCAGTATATATACTATATTTTCTTTTATGCTGAAAGGCTCTATTCTTGTAATCTCGTCTAAATTTAAGAACTGAAGAGCCCTGAAAAATACAATTTTGTGAATTATTATTCTGTGTCAAAAATATTAAAATTTTGATGATTGTGACCAAAAAAACAGTAGTCATTGTTTGGAATACTGTGGAAATGGGGAATTGTATTTTAGTTTTCTACAATGTATATGAGGTTAGTTTGCAGATGTTCCTATTTTTTTTATGACAGTGCTGTATGTGATTTTGTTAGTTTTGTGTGTGTGTGGGGTGTGTGTGTGTGTGTGTGTGTGTGTGTGTGTGTGTGTGTGTGTGTGTGTGTGTTGTGTGTGTGTGTGTGTGTGTGTGTGAAGAGATCATTTAAAAAAAAAAGGGAAGATTATAAGAAATATGTAGCAACTCTAATATCTCAAAAATGCAATTTTAAGAGAAGTTTTAAGCGAAAAATAAGTAGTATGGCGATTAGCTTATTTGCATCGACCATCGTTTTGTGTAAATAGGTATTTAAGTCTATAATGCCCTATAATTGGGAGGTACTTTGATGCTGGTGGTGGAATCTTGATCCAGGAAATTAAAGCTGCCCTTTCTTTCAGATCAAATATGATGAACTTCCATGCCACAGGCACTATATGACCTTTACAAAATTAGCTATACCCCTTGAATATAATATTGTCTATTCTCTAATGGTTAACAAAAAAATACAAATGATTTTAACTCCATATTGGTTGCAGTGATAATTGGAAAGGCACACATCTTGGACTAGTAGACTCTTAATTTATATAAATTATGTAGCATTACACTGATATTGGTCGTGCAACACCTGGGCAACTGGAGGTACTTGCGTTAGATAGAAGAACATGAAGGGTAGCTTCAGTGCCCTGGATCAAGGGTCCCCTTTCATCACCTCCTCCAATGAAGGGCTAATATACCCACCAGATATTTTATGTTTGTATTTAAAACTTAAAACTTGGGTGACAAGTATCACACCATTTTTAATATAATAATGTGAATGTGAATGCAAAAATTACTGGACCTGAGTGAAGGAAAAATTTCTTGTTCTGCTTAATATACTGTAAAAAATTAAACCACAATTTTTTTTTGTGTCATCGAACTTTCTCTCTCTCCTATCCCTCCTTTAGAATCTATTTTGTATTAATGCTGTTAGAATTACCAACAATATCTGTTATTTTTGTGTTATCACAGTATTTTTCTCTTAACCTGTAAATCTTGAGATATTTTAATTATTACTTCCAATGTCTTTAGACAGACTTAAAGTAATATTGCAATCACTCTGTATTAATAATTACTCTTAATGATCTAATAATTCGCTTACATCCCTGTTGAAAGGTTCTTGATCCAAGGAATTGAAGTTACTCCTCACCTTCCATTGATCAAGCCTGACTGGTTCCCATTTTGCAGGGGCTGTAAAGGCACCTTACAGGTTCACTGTTTTCCCTTAATAATAATATTCACTTGCATCAAGCTTTCTCTATAGTCCAATGGTAATATGTGGTGTAGCAAATTATAATTCACTATGCGCTTAGATTGACATATTATTCTCATTTCTAATAGTGTCAAAGTCTTTCATGAAATAGCGGTGTTGAACTACTTGTGCATTGTGTGAGTTAGGCATGATAAATTAACAATTGTGTGTTTTAACAAGATGCTAAAAAAGTTTGAAAATAAGCAACACCTAAGAACAATGCTAATATTTTAGTGATCACTAACTAAAAGATAATTGTACCATTATCTCTTTTTCTGTGGTATGAAAATAATGTGCCTTCATCATGAATGCCTTTAATTTTGAAGAATGAAACACTTGTGCAACATTTGGGAATCTTTATTGGGGAAATGTTTTGCCAGCCAGTGGCTTCTTCAGTCTGTAACAGAAGAACAGTGGAAGATGAGAATGAAGTAATCAGTCCCTCTGCCTGGAGTCAGTGTGTTTGTCTTTATGGGCTGAACACATCGACCCTCTGCCTGGAGTCAGTGTGTTTGTCTTGATGGACTGAGCACATTGACTCAAGGCTGAGGGACTGATAACCTCATTCTCCTCCTCCTCTTCCACCGTTTCTCTCTGTTTTGGATTGAAGAAGCCACTGGATGGTGAAACGTTTCCCCAGTAAAGATTCAAAATGTTGCACAAGTGTCTTATTCTTCAACTTGTTGGTTTTCTAAACCATTACATCACAGCCTTTAATTTTCTATGGGACTGTCAGTTTTGGAGGTTGGTTCTAAAGTAGACATGGCCAAACCTTGGCTCTCAAACCACATGAGACTTATTGACTCATTCACAGTGTCACAGTGAGCCAACATCCAGAACAGGGTACCAATGAATAAGCCACAGTAAATGACCAGATTGTTGCTCTCGAGCCATGGCTTGGCCAGGTCTGTTCTGTAGGATCAGTAAATAGTAGAAGGTCAAGTATAGCAAAGATATATTCAGAATACTGAATGGGCATTCACAGTCTGTATTCCCTTTCTTTTCTACATATGATTCAGTAGAAAACATACTTAATAGCATTGCACCAAATTTTATTATACTTTTATTACTATTACTATCTTTTGTACTTTCTGAAAGATGTCATAGTAAGTGTATTTCTTTATCGATCCTTTGTGTTAGAAGTTAGCTGGTTGTCAAATATGGATCCTACTGATTTGGTTTCTCATTTTTTCCTGTATTAAAGTATTATACTGAAAATAAATTGTATATGGTACTTGTATTAAGTTTAATACAGACACTGAATGTAAAAATCACTAAAATTATTTTAAATGAAATATTTTGTTTTATCTTTTTAGATGCTTTTATTTACTATTTTACATGGTATATGCACATATTATATATTATTATTTTACATCTCATTCATATGATGTTTAAATCCTAAATATACAGTGTTCTACTTGTGAAATTTTACTACAAGCCTAACCTGGAGTTTACCTGGAGAGAGTTCCGGGGGTCAACGCCCCCGCGGCCCGGTCTGTGACCAGGCCTCCTGGTGGATCAGAGCCTAATCAGCCAGGCTGTTACTGCTGGCTGCACGCAAACCAACGTATGAGCCACAGCCCGGCTGGTCGGGAACCGACTTTAGGTGCTTGTCCAGTGCCAGCTTGAAGACTGCCAGGGGTCTGTGAAGACTGCCTAATCATAATAAATTTAACCCAAATGTACATGTGTCTGGTTGGGTTAAAATAGATTAATTGATTAATATATATTTTTACATTAAAAAAAAATAATTTACTTTTCATTTAAAAAAAAAGTACAGTGGACCCCCGCATACCGTCGGCATCACATAACGTTCAGTCCGCATACCGCTCGCTTTTATCGCAAAAATTTTGCCTCGCATACCGCTCAAAAACCCGTTCACCGCTGTTCGTCCGAGACGCGTCCAATGTGCGCCCTTAGCCAGCCTCACGTGCCGCCGGTGGCATTGTTTACCAGCCAGCCTCCGCGGTAACATCCAAGCATACAATCGGAACATTTCGTATTATTACAGTGTTTTTGGTGATTTTATCTGCTAAATAAGTGACCATGGGCCCCAAGAAAGCTTCTAGTGCCAACCCTACAGCAATAAGGGTGAGAATTACTATAGAGATGAAGAAAAAGATCATTGATAAGTATGAAAGTGGAGTGCGTGTCTCCGAGCTGTCCAGGTTGTATAATAAACCCCAATCAACCATCGCTACTATTGGTGGTACAGCTGCTGCTGCTGCTGTACCACCGTCAGCTGCTGCTGCTGCTGCTGCCTGTCAGCTGCTGCTGCTGCTGTAAGCACCGTCAGCTTGCTGCTGCTGTTGTACCACCGTCAGCTGCTGCTGCTGCTGCTGTAGTACCGTCCTGCTGCTGCTGTAGTACCATCTGCTGCTGCTGTGCATCGTCTGCTGCTGCTGTAGCACTGTCAGCTGCTGCTGCTGTACACCGTCGGCTGCTGCTGTAGTACCGTCTGCTGCTGCTGTAGCATCGTCTGCTGCTGCTGTAGCACTGTCATCTGCTGTGCTGCTGTACCACCGTCAGCTGCTGCTGTAGTACCGTCTGCTGCTGCTGTAGCATCGTCTGCTGCTGCTGTAGCACTGTCAGCTGCTGCTGTTGCTGCTGTAGCACTGTCAGCTGCTGCTGCTGCTGCTGCTGTAGCACCGTTGTTGGTGTGGCTTATTGAGAATACCAAGAAACAATTAACCCCAGAGGATTTGCCACCCAGGATAACCCAAAAAAGTCAGTGTCATCGAAGACTGTCTAACTTATTTCCATTGGGTCCTTAATCTTGTCTCCAGATGGCAACCCACACCAGTCGACTAACACCCAGGTGAACAGGGAAAAATGCCTGGAACTAGTGCTCATATTGGTGAATTTAAAGCCAGCAAAGGTTGGTTTGAGAGATTTAAGAATCGTAGTGGCCATACACAGTGTGATAAGGCCTGTTCTGGAAGAAAATGCCAAACAGGACCTACAGCACTCAGAGGAAAGGCACTCCCAGGACACAGTGTCTCATCAGTCATTTGCTGCATCTTCAATAAAGGTAAGTGTCATTTATTCTTCATTTAGTAGAGTAGTACATGCACAATATATATTGTGCATGTATCCTTCTCTTTGTGTGTAGGAAAATGTATATTTCATGTGGTAAAAAAATTTTTTTTCATACTTTTGGGTGTCTTGCACGGATTAATTTGATTTCCATTATTTCTTATAGGGAAAATTCATTCGCATACCGATCATTTCGCATAACAATGTGCCCTCTTGCACGGATTAAAGTCGCTATGCGGGGGTCCACTGTATATTCACCATATCTCACACCCTCGCTGCCTTTCCAGTCAAATATATGTTGCAATGCAGGAACTGAGTTTCCCCAAATTGGAGTTGGCTAAGCAATTTCCCTGGAGTCTTTTAAGAAAAATTACCTTGCCCACACTTACACAGTATGCAAAATCTTTCAAACTACATTTCCAAATAATTGTTTGCAACCTTCAAGAGGGAAAAGGTATTATTGAAGTGCCCCTTCCTAGGATCAGTCCTGATCACCTCCTTATGAATTTAGCATTTCCTCATGAATATAATAATCTTTAATTTTATTAATCCACCCACTCGAGTTATAAAGTGTGTATGCATATATACATATACAGTGGTACCTCGAGTTTTGAACAGCTCCCAACTCGAACAATTATGTAAGTGTATTTTTGTAAG